AATACGTAAGGACACAATAAGAATTTTTTTCCCTGTTTCGTAAAGAAACGAAAACGTAAACCGATATACCTATGACGATGTGGAATATTAACCCAACAAGTTACAATTAAATTTTGCTTAAAATGCATATAGATTTTAAAAAGTGTCTTCTTCAAATGTCATTCATGGCACGTTTTCAGAAGTAAAATTTCATTAATTAATTAGTATTATAAAAGGCTTTGATTTCAAGGAGTCTAATCCTAATATTATGTAGGATTATTTATAACTCAAAGGCGGATAGAATGCCGTTGGGGAAAAATAGGTCACGTTATATATATTCAGGATAGGTGGATTATTTGTTTTTATTTATATTTCTTCATTTTTTGCTCTGTGTTAATATTGTTTCTATTTTGGGTTTGCCTGTACTTGGCAGTTATATTTAATACTGTACATGTATAAGTTTAGTTAATCCGTTTGTGTACTATTTTTCATTATTATTTCACTATTATTGTATATATTATCAGTGTTTGCCTGTTATTGGCTTTTTGCTGTTGGCAAACACGTAAATAAATTAATTGAATGAATTGAATTGATATTATTCAGTCACCAGTTACAGACTTGAAATGTAATTAATGCGTAGAATCATTTTAAAGGAAGAAAGCAGAAGGACTTTTAATCTTATGTGGACCTAACAGCAATTGTTCAGTTAATTTTGTTTAGTGATCCATGCAGAGGCTAATTGGTCAACTAGTGTATTATTACCAAATATCTACTTGGCAAAATGTACTGACCAATTATGTAACAGAGAGAACATTTACCAAAAATAGGAAAGGTCAAATGGATTTAATAGATATCTCGTGAGGTTGGATTTGAGGTTCTCGTGGCGGTGTGTACGAAAATGGCAGTCTTCTGGGTTCTAGAGCCGTGTAGTCTGCACAACAACTCCGAAGACAGCCATCTTCAATGTCTCGCGAAGTCTCTCACTCTACTTGTTCGCCTATAACTTGTTGACTTTAATTTATAATCAAGACAGGCTTTAGTCAATATTTGCCTACGTAGTAGGAGCTTTAAAGATTATTTACATATTCCGTTGACAAGACTTGTTTACATCATAAAAGAATTTGGATGCTGTTTCTCTGGCTTACTCTCAGGTAACCTATTCTAAAATCAGAGCGGGAAATTCGAGTTGTTATCAGAGGTTCCTTCAGAATTCATTTGTACTTGACAGGTAACAAAATATGAAGAGTGAACTGTCATTGCTCTGAAGCGTGTTTAGCGTCTGTATAAGGACCTGAAGGGAGGGATTATGTCATTGGTGTTCCGATAGTTTTATGTTGTCAAAAACACAGATTAAATTACAGGTTGTGTAAGAGTCTGGTTACGAGTTTACATTAAATTTGTAGTAACTTGGTCGACACGGAGAAACATTTTTCCAAATTAAATATGTTTTTTGTGAAGAAAATCATTTATTTCAGCAGCATAGTTTAGTTGTGAATACTTTAAAGTAAAATATTCCTCGCTAACCTAATAAAATCCTGTAAGCTACTACTAAGAGAAATTATTTTTTTAGTCGCTTACGGTACAAAATAAATGAAGGAGATCGAAATTTTGATTGAAGTAGCAAGCACCAATAAAATGTCGGTAAATATCTACCAGACTTTAAAAATTAAGATGACGACTACTGCATTTGAATCTAGGTTAAATTCGGATGAAGTTGTTTTCACATTATATCTCACTCTCAACGTAAACTATATTAACAAATAGAAATGAGGTTCGTGATAAAGTTAGCATAACATAATTTGAAAATACTTTCTGTTGGTCATTTCGAAAAATCTCACCAGATGTGTCTTACAAAGCGTTAAAGAGTAGCCTAAATATTTATAGCGCTACATAAATCAGTAATTTTTACACTTGTTTATAAACGTAGTCTCGTATTTTGAGGAAGTGAAAAATTACAAATGCTTTAACACGAAGTGCTCAGGAAAATACTGAAATCTAAAGAGAGCACTTCAATAGTTTATACACGTATTATTTACTTAGAAATTATTTGTATTATTTGTTTCCTGTTCAGCTAACGACGTTTTGAATAACTGTTATTATACAGCCGTTCCCAGTTTCTGAAAATCGCTAAGTATTTTTAGAATACCGAAACATACAATTTGGATAGATTAGGGAAACAACCAATACTTGCAGTATTTTAGCGAGGAAACCTTTTGGAATGCAACTACTTGGATGACCGAGAAGGAGAAGGGAGGAAGACATTAAAATGGGTCAAAGTTATATATATTTTGAGCATGAAAGACAGAAATAACCGGCTAAGGATCGTAACGAATCGCTGGATTTCGTATTAGCGGTAATGAACGTTTTGATTATAGGGCCTATTACAGAGAGCTAGTTATTTGGCTTGTAAGCGTTCAATTCACAGCTTATTCGCCTTCTAGTTCAGTTTGTATTGACGTTAAAAGTATAATTACTGTGATCTGAACACAGGACTAACATATTATGTAGGGCTAGCAATTCATAAATTAAAGTGTAGACAAATGACAAAAAGATAATTTGAACATAATTTGTATTACGAGAAAGGAAAGGTCCTTCTGTATTTAAGAAAACACTTTCGAAGCTAATTTGGTAAGGTTAAATTTATTCATTGTTATACATTATATAATAATTTGAATTCCTCATTCCATAAACAACTGTAGATGAGTCGATGCTGAAATCAGAGTTTTTTTAGTCGTGTTCTCCGTGTTTGTGTCTAAACATATTTATATCTGTGTTCAGCGGTTAGAACGCTGGCCTTGTAATCCTGGGGGTCTCGGGTTCGATTCCCGGCGGTGCCCGAATTTATACCTTGTGTTGGGCAAGGCCGTGGTCTAGGCAACACGGAGTTTTCCTCCGGGGGCTTCCCCGGTTTCTCCGTGGCATCCCATTTACACACAGAAGAAGGCAATGGCAAACCACTTCTGGATCATCTGCCTAGAACGTATATGAACAGGTCCCAGTCCGAGAAAAGGATGGAAGGATCCTGTTCATGTGGACCTGTCGTCAGACAGAACACTAAATAATAATAATAATGTTCGATTCACTGCATAATGGATTTTGGAGTGTATTTAAGTCACCTTTGTTAAATACTGAAATTACGCGTTAGAACATATGTTGTATTAAAGATCTTGTTTTATCTCTTTATTTTATAGTTTTGGATGGAATAATAATACTTGTGTACCAGTTCTGTTTATTAGCTAATATTCTGAAGAATTTTGTTAACTTTTATTTTTC